TCCTGTGTGAGACCAAAGAAAAGACAGGTAAGATGCATATGTAGCTTTCTATGTATATTTATCAACCAGTAAATACACATTGCATGCTAATACAAGACTTCTACTCTCATCAAATTCATTATTGTGGTTAATTTTAGGCTTAAAGTTGACTTTCTATTACATTTGAATGACTCGTGGTCAGTCAGTGTGTAAGGATAAGGGATTTAAACAAGACTGCAAATAAACTGTATTTGCAGTCTTGTTATATCTTAGGTAGTGACTCACATGACATGACAGATGACACATCTGTGGCAGAGAGCAAGAGAGAGATTGGAGACACATAAGCAGGATGTACACTAGTTTGTCTACATTTTCTCCCGTCCTCATAAAACTTGTCATTAATGCATCTCTCTTTCTCCCTCTGCTGCTCTTGTGCTCAGTGTGTCATACTCTATCCCCAACAGTTTGCCTTGGTATTTTTCCAAAACTCATTCTCTGCTGGCTTTCTTGATGATTTTTGATGATGCTCTCCTCCAAATGCTCAGATGGTGAAAAGGCTAGAAGCGCTACTGCAGGAGGAGCGTTATAACAACAGACGCTTTTGACTGAGAAATACATGGGAGCAACAGGATCGTCTAATCTGGGTGATTGACATTAGGAATCTGTGCCAGCGGTTGAGATGATGCAATGTTTAAATAGGTCTAATTGTTTCTATGGAAGAAGAAAGATTGACTCAGTGACTTTAGACTCACAATAATACTTCTGCTTTTCTTATCCTGCATTTATTCCAAACTCATTTTGAATTTGCAGTAAGTGAACAAATCTAAATTTAACTAGGCAGGAAAGATTCGTAATTTAATATCAGTCGGCAACTTTTTCCTTGTTGAAAAAAAAACACCCCCAAAAAGTACAAACTGCACCGTACTCCTTGGTGTTACCTCAGTTAGCTTGGAAACAGGAAGCTTAAGGGTGGCAGCAAGAAGGATTCAGAGTTTCCAAGGTAAGTAGTTGTCTCACCTGCTTATTTTCAAACTAAGAGCCCAGATTCACAAAATCGGACATGAGGGGAAAATGAGGGCTGGAAAAGATGACATAAATAAAGGCTAGTATGTGTGTGTGTGTGTGTGTGTGTAACAAAAATAGTTTGGAAGAATTTGGAAACCAGCATAGATCATATGCTTTCCAATCAGCTCATCTTAAGATAAGAAAATACTTTATTTATGTCGACATAGTAAGGTAATTAATTAAGAAAATGTCTTTTATTTTCTCAAAAACACAGGATACATCTTTTTACTATAGTTTTCCTGAGCGGTGCTAAGCTCACAACCTTCTGTATGACCAAGTCAGTGTAAACTGCACTAAGTTGTTTGAGATTTTGGAAAATACTGTCTTTTTGTTAAATACAAATAACGATACCACTCTTATGCCTCACCGGTAAATTTTAGGGATACACCTTTCAATGTGGTAAAACAATAGTAACAATAATGACATTTAAGTGTTGCAATGAATAACTATCCTTTTGGATCTTGTTAATCAAATGAACCAGCATAAATTCTTCTGTTATTTATCTGTTATTTTATGCTTTTTTTTACAGAGGTATTTTAAATGAATGTGAGCAACACAAACTTATAAAATATGAGAGGAAAATAGCGGGGCTGAGTTCAGAACTAGCAGCAGGATTGTTGGAACAAAAAAGATCTTTTGGCGGCCGTCAAAAAAAAAAAAGAAGTGCACTTTGAAATGTGCTGTTAAATATTCATACTCCAGCTAGGATGCTTGCCTGTGTGCAGCTGTGGCTGTTAATAATATCCGACCAATTATATTGTATGAATTCTTAATCTTGTTTCTTTGGATCATGTTAGTAATATGTGCCAGAATCCACAACTACAAACAGCAAATTATGTAAAGTATCATCAGGGAGAATCACAGAGGGCGATAAATGAGCAGTGCAGGCACAGAGAAAAACTGGGGGTGGGGATACTCTGAACTTTACTGTTTGTGATCTACTGGCTTTGGAGAAGCTCACACACACACATACATAGAAGCTACATTAGAAATGTGTTAAATATCGCGTTTCTGGATTACATCTGATGTAGTTGTCAGTGTGGCACATCGGTCTGCTAATTGCTGTCTACTTATACTTTAATTATGCGATACTGAACATCTTAAAAATACTGTTGTATGAGACCAGTGTAGTACTAGTGCTCTACAGTAATACGGTTCACTGGTGTGCCTTATAAAGTGATCACAGCGTTGGTGTACTGCGGTGCGTTTCTCTAATCCCTGCAGAGGTTAAGCTGGATGTGAAGATACGAAGGCTGTCATGGCACTTGTTAGACACTATGAATGGGAGATGCTACCTGAAACTACCTTGTAATTGCCGTCTGATTTGCATAACTGTGCGCATTAACAACCTCTCAAATGAGCTTTAATTTTTTTCACTGAGTGTTTTGATGCTCCTTAAGAGTTGGTGTTAATTAATTAACAGCGTGTGGGTGAAGATGAGTGTGTGTGTGTGTGTGTGTGTCTCTTGCATTTTCTTTTCCTTGGACTTGATAAGGAAAGATGCCATTGCTACCATAGCAACAGACACTAAGGTCTTTACCTTACAATATTAAGTGCCTTGAGGCAACTGTTGTTGTGATTTGGCACTATATAAATCAAACTGAATTGAAACTATGCTTGGTCATAGGCGATTGATCGTTGGGGTCATCGGTTTAAAGCTGTAGGGTCTTTGTACAAAGTAAAGACTGCTGAGAACTGGTGCTGCATTAATGAAATTGAATTGAACCATTAAAGTGTTCTGCTGATGCAGCGTTGCTGGTTTGTGCTGGTTAATTTTTGTTTTCTGCAACATTTGAATGCATTGGTTCACTATCATTACTACCTTAAAGCCATGCGGCTTAGAGGAGACTGACTAGTCAAATCAGAATATTAAGATTAATCTTAAAAAGTTTGAATGTCTTTGGGGTTGATTGTACTGTTCATGCTGTTTTCTAAATCTACACAGCGGAGGTTGAAATTCTGATGGCAGTACTACACAAGCAGGATAGGGAGTGATTCTCCCATTTTTTTTTGTCAGCTCCTTTTGACTTTTTGTATCTACACTTCCCCTTCTATTTGCCACTGATTAAAAGATGCTCCACATTTTGAACATATTAAGATCTTATCAGTTCAAGTAGTTTTTAAATTCGGTACAAACTATTCAAAAATGTGTCAGAAAATGAAAAAATGAAGTATATGTGAAGAGGGGAGATGCTTGACATGCTGCATGTCTTGAACTTGATTGATTTATTTCGAATCTATTGTGGCCATCACAGTTCATATTCTGCTCTATAGCCCTGAGTATCCAAGGTGTCCAACAAGAAGACCCTCCAGATGCTCAGATAATGCAACTGGATAATATGCTGTTAGCAGAGGGGGTTGCTGGTCCAGAGAAGGGTGGAGCCTCTGCAGCAGTGGTGGCCGCAGCCGGAGGAACTCTGATGATGGGAGCTTAGAACATGTGGACTACAAAGAGAAACTCTCTCAAATTCGAGAGATTTACCATGCAGAACTGGACAAATATGAACAGGTGTGTTGTTAAGAGACTTTAGGGTGAACAGGCAAGGGTGTGTCGACTACATCACTGAGGTGTGTTAGAATTCTTGTCTTTGGCCCTCTTGGTCACATTCACGCCTGAACTCTTTGCCTTCATCCCAATCAGGCTTGCAATGAATTCACCAGCCATGTGATCAACTTGCTGAGGGAGCAGTCCCGCATGCGACCCATCTCATCCAAAGAGATTGAGCGAATGGTTTCAATCATCCACCGTAAGTTCAGGGCTATCCAGATGTAGTTAAAGCAGAGCACGTGTGAAGCTGTCATGATCCTACGTTCCATGTTCCTGGATGCAAGGTTGGTTTTCATATTTATTTCCTTGCCTCATCTTGAAGTTTAGTCTTCAAGTGTCTGCCAGCATTTTTTAAATTAAATTGTGTTTTGTATTTGTATTGCCATCAGACGGAAACGCAGGAATTTCAGCAAACAGGCAACAGAGATTTTGAATGAATATTTTTATTCCCATCTGGCCAATCCTTACCCTAATGAGGAAGTCAAGGAGGAGCTGGCCAAGAAGTGCGGCATCACTGTTGCTCAGGTTAAAAAAAGACCAGATATAGCACTTGGTTTAATCTAAAGAAGCAAGCTGAATTTTCTGACTTGCTCCCTTTTCTTATCTTAATTCTTTCAGATAGCCAACTGGTTTGGAAACAAGAGGATTCGGTATAAGAAGAATATTGCAAAGTTCCAGGAGGAAGCTAACGTTTATGCTATGAAGACAGTGACAAGTGTGTCTTCGCTTTCCAGCCAAGCCACCTCTCCAGCTACACCAAACTCAGGTATACACCCTCAAGGTTACCTTTCTCTAAATGAAAATGTGGAAACCCACAGTAGATGGCCAGATGAGAAAAATAAAAATATTTATCACAGTTTCAAAGAAGAGCCACCAGGTGTCTGTTTTTTTTTTTGATTATGGAAATGTGTGTGCAAATCTTTTCTTCATGCATGTGTGGAAAACGTTTTCTTCAAGTGTCCCCCGATGTGCCAACAGGAGGATACCCAGCAATATGTACCCCATCTGATGGGAGGCTTTGAGGAGTCACTGGAGGTGCTCTTGTTCATCCTCTCTGTCTCCATGTGAGTAGTTAGTCTAACACATTGCTGTTCTAGCCTCATCTGCTAGATGTAGAGTATGAAACAAGGTCAAAGAACAACTACTTGCTTTTTGCAGAGACTTCTATTTGTGTGTCCCAGGTGCTATAGCCACATTTTACCCATATTGCACTGCGAGTTTGAACCCGTTTTAGGGGGTGCTCAAGAAGCCCCAGATTTCACTTTAACATGCCTGAAAATAACTGCAGTAGCCTAAAATTAACAATAATCATGTATTTTGTGATCATAACATACTGATTTTATGTGGCACACACACACATAAGCACTGGATTCGTCAATAGCGAAGCTTGTCATGAATAAATAAGACTTGTGCTGCTCACACAGACACTGGAAAAATCAGGGTGGCAATCAGTCTGATTTTTCCAGTGTAAATAATGCCACATAACTGAATGTCATTCGTTGTTATTAATCTTAGACAGTGCAATCAGCCATCCAACTAATTAGGCTGCTTTTGAAAGAAACATTGTGACAGATATCCAGTTAAATTGACTTCTCCAGAGTTATAGAGGGCTGAAGACTTTGGCCAGAAGCATTATTCACTTTCTTAACAAGTATTTTGTGACATAAAAGTCAAGTAATTTATTTACTATTTATTAACTATTCTTCTTTTATTAATGTATAAACTGGGAGCTGAGCCCCCCCAAAAGGTTCGATGTTAAAATCGTCCCTGCTGTGTCAGCTCCTGAATATTAACATTAGATTACAGATCAAGACTAAAAAGTCGTCATCATCATAAAAATCGTAGCTCAAACTGAAATATCATTTTGTTACAAATGAATTCCGTATTTACTTTGTATAAAAATGGCTGTAATTTCCAAACAGTCAATGCAGTATATTTGTGAAACCCCGCAAAAAAAGCTGAAGTCTGCACTTCTCTGGCATCTTGTGTGTCATCGACCAAAAACGTACTTATAAATTTTACTAAAAGTGAAGCGTCAGCTGTAAACTAATAGTGGTTAAAGTGATGGCTATGGCTTTTTGTTGTATCAGAATCAGATTTATTGACCGAACATTTAAACACACATAAGCAGGATTTTTAGATCATCTGTTTGAATGAATGATAAGCTTATGTCACTTATTTCGCGGAGTGGCGTCTGCTGTCTGTCCCTTTGTTGTTTACAAGAATCTTTACTCCTTCTACAGTATCGATTAGAATTTCATCATAGGTATTTTAGCTTAATGGGGAGCGATCAGTGATGTGTGTGATGGACTATGAACTTGATGATGTACTACGTCTGTAGTGAAAGTGGATGCAACAAAATAAAAATTCCCCGAGATTCACAGACATATTTAGGAAAATCCAGACTGACTGAATGTTCTTTTCATCAGGTTGAAGGAGGCTTAAGACACAGTGGCACATATATTCCCTCACCCAGACCTCTAGGCGACGTGTGCTCTGTCACAACTCATAGTATACTATCCCTTCCCCACTAGGCCAGCGTCAAGTGGCGTCACAAACGAACACGGACAGATCTTCCCCAAAACTTTTCTTTTATTTGGATTTGTGGTGCTTTTGTACACCTCTTTCTGGGATTCGTTTTTAACTTCTCACATTTTATTTGTGCTGACACTACTATCTTTTTAATGATAAAAATGAAAATAACTTAAAAAAAGGACTAAAGCCTGCATGTGGTGTTAAACCAGATGTGGACCTTTCATCTTAACGCTGGATTAATAAAGCAAAAGATGCATGCTGTTCTTTTTAGGTTTTGAAGCTATGGTTGTATCTTTCTTTCTTTTTATAAAAACACATCACAAGACAAACATCACTTAACAAATAAAGCTGTTGTCATTCAACAAGTTTCTGTAGAGTCGCTTTGGACACAAACTTGGTATAATATGATTTAAATAAATTCAAATTCTCTCATCTTTAAACAGGTAATTATTTTAACTTAACCGTTATGAGGAAAGGGGGTTGTGGTCTCATTCTAGAACATTCAGTGCTGCTTCTGTGCGCAATCCACTCTCCACACCACTAGAGGGCATTCACATGTCACTGCATCTAAATTGGCTTCTGGGGACTTTGCAACCAGGTCATGTATTTTATTGTCTCTTGGCGTCTCTTTTCTTTATTTATTCAGACTTTAATAAAAAAAAAAAAGTTACTGTGGTGAATGTCAGCCAATCAAATTCTTATTATTTATTCTTGGACATTCGTTGTATATAGATTTTTGACTAGTTTTTATATTTTAAAAAAGTAAAAAGCAAAGTTTTTTTTTAAAATTTGTACTACTTTGTACAATGTAGATACTGAAGACTTCAAATATATGAAGCAAGATATATGGAATTATGTAGCAAAAAAAACCTGATAAATAACTCAAAACTTGTGTTTTATATTTTAGATTCTTCAAAATAGTGGATGGGCACAATCAGTTGTGCAGAAGTAAGGTTGGTGCACAGCTGACAGCCATGTTTGACAGCTGTTATAATTCATATTATGGCAAGAACCAGTCAGCTAAGTAAAGACAAATGACAGTCCATCATTACTTTAAGAACTAAAGGGCAGTCAGTCTGGAAAATTGCTAAAGCTTTGAGTGTGTCCCAAAGCGCCGTCGCAAAATCCATCAAGCGCTACGACAAAACTGGCTCATGTGAGCACCGCCCCAGGAAAGACCAAGAATCACCACCGCTGCTGTGGATAAATTCATCTGAGTAACCAGTTTCAGAAATTGCAGCGACTCAGATTAGAGCCCAGATCAATGCCACTCAGAGTTCCAGTAGCAGACACACATCTCTGCATCAGCTGTTCAGAGGAGAATGCGTGAATCAGGCCTTTATGGTCTAATAGCCGCTAAGAAAACACTACTAAGGAAAAGCAACAAGCAGAAGAGAATTGTTCGGGCAAAGAAACACATAGACGAGTGGAAATCTGTGTTTTGGTCTGATGAGCCCAAGTTTAAGATCTTCGGTTCCACCTGCCGTGTCTTTGTGCGACACAGAAAAGGTGAACTGATGGTCTCTACATGCATGGTTCCCACCGTAAAGAATGGAGGAGGAGGTGTGATGGTGTGCGGGTGCTTTGCTGGTGACACTGTTGGGGATTTATTCAAAACTGAAGACAGATTGAACCAGCATGGCTACCAAAGCATCCTGCAGCAACATGCCATCCCATCAGGTTTGCATTCAGTTGGACCGTCATGTATTTTTCAACAGGACAACCTCCAGGCTGTGTAAGGGCTATTTGACCAAGAGGGAGAGTGATGGTCTGGCCTCCACAGTAACCTGACCTAAACCTGATCAGGATGGTTTGGGATGAGATGGACCAACAGATGCTCAGCATCTCTGGGAACTCCTAGAGGACTGTTGGAAAACCATGTCAGGTGACTACCTCATGAAGCTCATCGAGGGAATGGCAAGAGTGTGCAAAGCAGTAATCAAACCAAAGGGTGGCTATTTTTAAGAATCCAAAAATATAAAACATGCTTAAGTTATTTCACACTTTTTTGTTCACTACATTCTTCCATATGTGTTCATTCATCGTTTTGATGCCTTCAGTGAGGATCTACAATGTAAATAGTCATAAAAATAAAGAAAAACCATTAAATGAGAAAGTGTGTCCAAACTTTTGACTGGTAGTGTGTATGTCTGACAAGGATTTCAGTTGAACACATACAGGTTAGTATAAAAAGAAGTTGTGACTTTTTTGTGCCAAACTAAACTGAACTGAATTCACTGAAAAAGTGAATCAGACGTTCCCAGAAAATCAGTCCACAAAAGACATTTGAGTAAGAGGACAAACTGATTAAGTTAGAGAGTGAGAGCTGCCAGGGTGGACTGTTGCTGTGGAGTATCTGATAATGAAGTGAGTGCTACACAGTGTAATCAATAATTTGTATGATAAATGACCATGCTGATATGGTGGAATGTTAGTCTTTTAGTCTTTAAGTAATTTAAAACTGTTTTTATTATTCTTTAGTTACAGTAATTTGTTGATCTGCAAATATGTTACTCATTATTTGCTACATGGCATTTTATATTTTATGCAATAAAAAACTTGTAAGAAATAACCACCAGCTTATTATTCCAACAGTAGTTCTATTAGAGTTACATATTAAAATGTTGCTATGAGCTTATCTAATATGACAAATAATAATGTTCTTATGATATCTGGTGACATTCCATATAAATGACTGTCTTTATCTGCAGACAGTACAAAAACAAGGGCAGCTCTTTTTTCACAGTCCTGAAAAATCTGTTTCATCAGCCACTATCACCAAGCTCACCAATCAATACAGGCACACGGAGGCTTTTCACTGCAGGAATGTTATTTTCTTGGAAAGCAGAATAATCCTCTAAAGCATAGCAGTAAAATCACAGTCCTCCTGTAGTTCGACAGACTTATAAATAATTAATAAAACAGTCACTAAATCTAATTTCGGTGCTTTTCCCCATATATCTCCTGCAAGTTCAGTGCTTGTCAACTGTGTGAAATTAGTTGTTTTAGTTGGCGTGGTCTTGGCTCAAAAGATATATCATTCAGGTCACCAGAATCAGAAAATAATTAACTGAAAAAGATTGTAAAAATATAACTGTTTAATAGCTAACTGGCATTTGTAGAGGATATTTGAATAGGGTAAGGGGTTGGTAAGGGGTTAAAGGTTGAAAGTGATAAGAGGCACAGACAGAAAGACAGACAGTGAGGTTGCACAGCGGAGAAAGTTAGTCTGCTCTGTGTTCATCATGGATTTATCACGTGGGGCTCTGATCCTGTTCTCTCTAATATACTCAGGTGAGTCATTTCATTTGATTTAATGAAAGAGGAGAAAGGCATTTGTTGGAAGATGGCAACACAATGTCTGTTTAAGTACTTTAAAGGCCTAATTGAAACAAGATTGAACCCACTGGAATAAAAATACCTGCAAGATTCACTGGGGATTATTCACAGACTGCAGTAGTTCCCATTGGAATAAAAGTACTTTCTAACCAAAATACTGAAAGGCATTAACTGTTGAAACAGACTTTTTTCTCCCCAGACTTAAATATGTGATTTAGATAAACACATCTAACAATGTTCTGATGTTATTCAGCAAAGTCTTCATTGAGAAAAAAACCCTCATCTTTTGTACATTGTTGTTTCGTCATCGACTGCCCGTTTAATCTGAGTATTTGTTCGGGTTGTTTGCTTTGGGCTTGCGTTTGTGTACTCTGTGTTTTACCCAGATGTGTCAAAAGGTTCACAAAGACGTACGTGTATTCTTACACGCAGTATAAGTATTCAAACTCAGTTCCTAGAAAAATGCAAGAATGAAGAATTGAAATAAGCCATTACCTAAATTGAGCAGTAAAATGAACATGACAGATAATCTGCGCTTTATAAATGCACTTTATATTAGTTTGGATGACTTAATAATAATAATAACTAATCATTCACACAAAGTGACTATAAATAACCTGGTTTCTTTTTTTGAATTGTAATAAAATCTAGAGCTTTTTGCAATATACTGACACTACATCAAAAGCTAGTATAGCTACAGGAACAGCAATTTAATTAACACTAAATGGCAACTGTGAACATAAACACTGGCCAGGAGTCATTAAACTCTACAGTAACCTCAGTGACCTGTTGCTAATATGACCGTAAAGCAGCACAAACACTGCAACCTACATTTAATGTCCAAGCCAAGTATTTCCTAAATAGAATATAACTGAATTAACAATGAAAGCACTATTATGTTTATATTCTGAGAAAAAAAGACTGCCTGAACTATAAGTCATTGCAGATTCATTACTTAAAATACTTAAAATAATAAATAAAGTGTGTGGCCACAAAGTTTATTTAATTAAAGTATGTATTTACTGTGCGTGCTGATAGTTGTGTTTCTCTGTGCAGTGGCTGGTCAGGCTCCTGTCATCTCAGTGGAGCCACGAGCTGCTACTGTGCGCAAAGGAGAGTCTGTCAGTTTTAGGTGCAATGTAAAACTGACAGACTCTAACCCACGGCCACTCGAGGTACAGTGGAAAAAGGCCAACAACCAGGCATTACCAGGTCAGGACAGACAACATGTTAAAACAATCACTGTTGTACAGCATTTGTAAGGTCTAACTTAAGTCTCCCTGTTTCCCTGTAGACAACATAAAAGTCGGTCCTGATGGGTCTGTGCTCACGGTTACTAGCGCTGTACCTGGAAACAATGGGCAGTACCGCTGTATGGTATCCTCCGCTGCTGGCCGCAGCACCGCCAGCGTTATGCTGACCGTCAAATGTGAGCTTGTATTCAAAGTCCAGTTTTTCCCAACTGTGCAAAACCAGAAAGCGTGGGTTCCCTGGAAACATATTTTATATGCAGATGTTTACAATGACACATAACCCTGTAAAGATTTACTATAACTTTTGTTAATGAAGGGTAAATTAGTATTTAATGAAAAAATTCATGTTAAAAATAAAATGTTTAGGGTTTCACTGAGTAAAAAGACCGGTGCTGGTGGTGAGATCAGACAGCGTTGGGACCCGACGCTGGAAACAGTAGCTATGGTAACCGCTATCTCCACAAATTCTCTCAAAGATACGCCACGATTTTCTTCCCAAATTAGTTTAAGCTCTGCTATTGAATTCTATGTAACATTATATTGAAATGTGGGCTGGTTCTTTTAAAGGAACCAAAGCAGAACTGGTTCTGCACTGACACCAACATCATATAGGAGCAAACTATGTATTACAGTGCTGTAGGCATACATAACCAACTGTTTGCTGTCAGTCTTTTGTAAAAAAGAAAAAAAAAAGGCATATTTAGAGTTTTCAGTATGTGTAGTGTATCCCTTTCTTGCTTTTAGATGCACCTAAAGTACGACTAACACCTTCGGGGCCGCTGAGAGTCAGGAAAGGTGAGGCCGTGTCAGTGGAATGCCGTGCCCAAGGCAGGCCAAATCCCACGCTGTCCTGGAAACGCCAAGACTCCACCCTGAAGCTGGTTACCGCTGACGAAAATGATGTCAACACCATCAAGGTGAAATACTAACTTGTGCTCAAGTTTTGGTTAAACTGATTTTCACATTTAGGATAGAAAAATAGTTCAAATGAATGAAAAAGAAAATGATATTCTGTTTTCTCAGTTTCCTGCGATACATCCAGATGACTCGGGAGTTTATATTTGCCTCGCTGAAAACACTGAGGGGATGACTGAGGCCAAAATTGAAATCATTGTCGAGAGGGAGCCCGGGTCGCCGGTAGCTTCAGTGACCCCTACTGAAATTACGGCAGTGGAGGGACATACAGTCACAATAGAGTGTCAGGCCAGTGGTAAGATGCCTATAATGCTCATATTTTAGATGGCTCATCTAAAATATCATCATCAAATGATGGCTCATTTTTATTCTTCCCTTCAAATCTGGTCTTTCCTTTTAGGTTCCCCTCCTCCTCTTATCACCTGGTCCAAGCTACGAGCTCCACTGCCATGGAAACACACAGTTAATGGTGGCGTTCTAACACTAACCAGCGTGGGGCGCCAAGACTCGGGACAATACATCTGTAACGCGACTAACATACATGGCTACAGTGAAGCTTACTCAGATATGGAGGTGGAGAGTGAGTGGACATAAGGATATTTAAACACAGATCCCACACATCCACACTGCTCATGGTAAGCAAAATTGTCTCTTTCTCCTCTCCACACAGCACCCCCATACACCACCATCCTACCCGATCAGGTGAGGCTCCAACCCGGAGATGCACTGCAGTTGCAGTGCCTTGCCCACGGCACTCATCCCATTCAGTTCACATGGAGTCGGGTGGGCCGGCCCAGCCTGTCTCCCACAGCAGAGCTCACAAATGAGGGAAAGCTCCTGATAGCCAAAGTTAAACAAAGCGACAGTGGAACATACAAATGTGTGGCCACAAACCACATTGGCTCCACTGAGGCTACAACCAGAGTGATCATAAGAGGTGAGCTGAGTTAAAGTGAGCGGTTTCATGACTACAAATGATCTCTTTCTTTTAGATTCTAATGCTTTCTTGCTTTTTTTGTTTTGTTTGCAGCTTAAGAAAACCCAGCGTGTCTCGTTGGTGAACATCTATGCAGTGCTTACACCTTGTGCAAGAATGGATCGTAATGCTGATGACGCTCTGGCGTTTAATTGAAAGAAACCAGAGAAAAGACTTAATAGATTCATCTACATTGATGTTTGATTAAGCAAATTATGCTGAGATTTAAATATTTGGCATTACTAAGCATGTTGGGTTAATTTTCATATTTTGCAGAAAATCTTTACTCCTACTATTGTTGTTGTCTCGTATCAGCTTTCAGGAAGCTTTTACTGGAACTCTGCATCGACTGACAGCTAACAGCATGTATGTGTGGGAGTTTTTTCTTCCACTGGAATGCATCTGCACACTGTCCTCCTCCCTTCTTGTCATCTCCTTAGCTTACACTGTCAAAATGCAAC